AAATGAAATTGCATTTGTAAATTGTAGTAGTAAAACACAAATTAGGGTATCACACCTAATAAATGAGCCTTTTTTTAATTATTTTTTATTTTTTTACAATCAATAGAAGGAAAATAATAGGAAAAAAAAATTTATATTCATAACAACTCACAAGGCCAACCGTCTGGTTTTCACCATTTCAGATATGTTTGTAATCCAACATCATACATGCATTGCAATTCGTTTAATCTCCTCTCTCCCCCCTCCCCCAAAATATATATATATGCTAACTTATATTTCAGTATCCATCAACTTAATAGCCAACAACATATCACAGTAAAAGTTAACATATAAAAAGATCAAAGACTATATAGGAGTATTTGTTTGGATATACTGAAATACAATAGACTGTTAATCCTGAAATAAATAATCTCTTGACTATTTAACTGAAAATGATGTATATTTGATTATTAATTCAACTTTCACATTTTTATCCAAATGATGGACTAGGAAATCCATTAAACATGGTGTCCAAAATCACTTGCCTCAATCCTATGAAACACCCCCTATATATATATATAGGGTTTGGACGGTTTTCAGTCCAGATTTGGAATAGTCCGGTCCAGTTCATCCCATTGTGTTCACTTTTGGACTCTTTTTTGATAATCAGAACCGTTCATATTTTAGAGTTTATTGAGTGCATTATTCCTATAACAAATCACGTTGGATAATGGATGCTATGTATTCAGATCACTTTTGTTTAAAAGAAATGAACGGTTGGAAAATCAACGGTTCATAAAAAAGTAATCCGAATACATAGTATCTGTTATCCGATCGACGCGATTTTTTACAAGAATAATATACTCAACAAATCTTAAAATGAGAATAGTTCGGATTATCGAAAAGGGGCCCCAAAGCAGGCCCAATGAGCCGGACTGGACCCTCCAGTCTAGATGGTGGATTGGAGGCAAGGCCCAGCCTATATATAATACATGTGATCGTATTCATATTCAAATATATTTTATTCTATAAAAATAGTAACATTAGAAGTATTGAATAGAACAGTATACAACAATATCTTTAACTCCAAATGTGACAATGGTGATGGAAAAATATATATAACACCATATAAAAAAAATTCCATAGAAAGATAAAATGCACAAGAATTACTGCATTTTCAATATAGCTTAGTACGTAGTAGTAGTAGAAGTACGTGGGTATGTAATAAAATGGAGGAGAGGTCCCTAAGGATTCATTCATTCACTCATTCATTTATGTTTATTAAAAACTTAGGTCAGTTTAATTAATTGAGATCAAATCAATGACATTGGACTCGCACTTGCACGCCACCACCCTCTCTATTCTCATCAACATAACTAATACTATAAATATACCCCATAGAAATTCCAAGGCATCCTTCTCCTCAATTTAATTACTCATTTCTCTTCTCCTACCTTGTTAATATTTGGAATTATCTAAATGAGTACATTTTTTTACTTTTCATAAAAAGATGTACAAAAAAGTAAAGAGATGGTGCGACCTAAAAAAGATAAAAAGCGCGTTTATATAGCACACCCCAAACAAAATTAACCCAAAATAAAAAATACAAATTTTGTCAGCATTTGAGATTATTATAGCAGTTTGGCTACATATATAGGTAATATATTCTGAGGGGAGGGGGGAAGGGGGCATGTGCAACCAATGGAACACCGTGGTCCGCCACCACCACCGATCACACAGAGCCACCCACAACATCCGCCGCATATTATGTGTCTCCCAGTCTCCACCACCACCACCCCCCACACCCATTAACCTCTAAATTAGTCTCACTTTTACACATTCAATAATGAATTAAACTCAAAAATGTCATCTAATCCTATGTTCTCATTGGCCATTCACATTCTCTAATATAATCCATTTCAATCTGTTTGAGCTGTCAAAGTCGCTTCTCTTGGCTCCACCTATGTCTTTATCAATGAGAAGTTGCATCTCAACCCTTAATTGGTGTGACTTAGAATCCTAGCATAGGGATGAACATATATATTAATAATAAAATAAATAAATAAGAGTATCGACTATTATATCAATTTTCACTAGTGTAGAAAATGAAAAATAACATGAAAACATATGTAAATAAGCATGCCTTTTTATATTTATGTTTGAATTACAAAAGATAACAACTGTAATATAATTTATCTACTAAAATTTGACATCTTAAATTTTGTTCAACATTCTTTCATATCATTACAAGTATCTCAAAATACATTTGGCATTAGAATTTTCAATAATATCTTTCTCAATTAATTAAATTATTTTCCTCATTTTTTTTTCTCTTTTTTGCATGCTTGTAATCATCACTTTTTTATAATAAATTTAGAGCAGATTGTATAATTTAGAGATAATTAATAAGTAATACTACTATTATAAAGAGATTTTTTGAAATCCTAAAAGAACGATTGCACCTTCTTACCCTCTCTAGATCCATCATTGTCCACGCCGATCAACGGCTAAGATGCTATGTGCATTAATCCAACATATGGCAATGAATAATTTTTGTTTAACCAAAAACCAATATATATTAAGAGAAGGCATTTGAGTATGCTTTGGGAGTGTGGATGTTAGAGAAGAAAAGGACCACAGGGTTGGGTAGATGAGTGAGAAAGAAAAAACAAGAAAGCAAGTCTACTGTTCAAAATTCAGGGACTCTTGTCCCTATGGGCCCTTTTTTCTTGTTTTTTTAGTCAGTTGTCCTATTGGCCTTGTTTGTGGGTCAATCTGCATAAAATTTGTGAATTGTAAGAATAGTCAAATGCACTCTCAACTATCTCAAGATATGCCAAGGCATGCAAACTATTATAATGGGTAACTTGGGAGGGAGTTTTCATTTTTTTGATTTTGGAGTTTTCATGCTTTTGGAAGCAATAGTTATGTGTGATTGTGTGTTATTAGTGAGTTCAAATTCTCTAGTCCAAGCCCCATGGTTAAGGCTCAGCAAGACATTTGAAACTTATTCAACTTAAATTCTTTTAAACTACATAGGCAGTCATATTTTGAAAAATTAAAAAGTTAAAAAAGAAAAAAAAAATGAGTATCAAATTTTCGACTTACTTTCCTTTTCAACTCAAAATGTTAAATTTTTTAAGCTGAAATTGCCTTACTTTTTCTATACTGCCAGTTAATTTTACACTCTTTTTGTTTTTTTGGTAACCCTTTAAGAAAAATTTAGCCAAAACTCTGCCATTGAATCATTAGTTGGTGAAAAGAACAGTTCAATTTATTTTGCTTCATAAATCCCCTAAAGAGGAGATGCATAATTGAGTAAGGACAAAGTAAAATATTCTTTTTTTTTTGGACAATATTGTCAGAGTAACATGTTACTGTGAGACAAAGTAACATGTTACTGTTTATATTAATTTCAATGATAATAATTTTTCTTTTAAAGAATTTCATAGTCCGCATGAATCTTATTTGATAGATCCTGATAAAAGGATTTTAAAAATATTAATTTTATTAAAAACCGACATCTATATCATAAGTTATATTATTTTAAAGTTTAATATTTTCATAATAACGATATGTGTTGAACTTTTAAATTTTTTTTTTTTACACTTGTCCTTAATGGATTAAAATTTTATAATATTTTTTCATGTTTATATATACATTACATGCTCATTTGGAAACTGACTATTTTAGTTAACTTTTTTGTTATTTTAGACTAGTTAAAAAAATTGTGCTTAGTAAGTTAGGTGATTTATTTTGTAATTGATTTAATTGTTGTGAGAAAAAAAATAAAATAATTATGATTTGAATGTGACATTTTTTTTTATTAACTATCTTAACTTATTTTATCTTTATTGACTATTATACCTAAAAAAACCTCTAACCCAACTTACCAAACAGCCCCTTAACATACAATTTATTAGAACACTCACTCACTCTCTAAATTAACAAACACACAAATTAATCCCACTTTTATCACAATATTTGTCATCTAAGACTAAGACACACTTTAACAAACCCATCGGAAATACTTTATAGATCTTAGGTATAAAACCTTCCATAATTATTAATAAATTTTTCTAGTGTATATGTATATAACCAAGTCTAGCTGATTAGTAAATTGTTCAAATTTAATTATGAAAACTTAAAAAAGTGTTTTAAAATATATTGGGTAAATTACACTAACACCTCCTAAAGTTTAATCCAATTACATCCTACCTTCTGACGTTCTGAAAATTACAATCTCACCCCTATAGTTAATATCACATTTCAAAAACCCCTCTGTTTATATGAAAGGTAACAACTCCTAATAAAAAAATAGAATAAATTACATTGAAAAAAAAAACAGCAAAGGAAAAAGGAAAAAAGAAAAGAGAAGAGAGTAAAACAAAGCAAGAAAAAAAAAATTGCATCAAATCAATGTTTTCATTCTATCTAAATAATTATAATGACAAAAGGAGTTATTGTAATTTTCTAAATGTCAGAGAATAATATGTATTAAACTCAAATCTGAAAAGATTTATATATAATTTACCCAAATATATTTAAATTTCAAACGAACCTATCTCAAAGGAAAAAAATTGGCACAAGCTAGTCGAGTAGCTTGGTTTGTACATTTTACGGGCCTAATTAACGACACACGAGACTAGAACCATACTAGTCCAGAATCAATATCATACTACAAGATTAATGCCAATTTCCCAGAGAAATGTTACCCCAGACGATCAAAACGGGCTGCTAAAAAAAGAAAGACATAAGTAGGAAATCGAGCCAAATAGAGATATAACTAACGCTTTAAATAGCAAGAAAATAAAGCAGTTACAAAAGATCTTTTTCTTCTTTTTCTTTTTTTTCTTTTTCTTTTTGTTTTGAGAAAGTTATAAAACAGTTACAAAAGACATGTCAGATCTAAATATCACTCCATTTTTTTTTTTTTTTTTTTTTTTATGACCCTTGATTTTCATTTATAGGAAAAAGGGGTAGTAATTTTGAGCTGGAATCAAATGCAACAATACTGCAAATATAGGAACCAGTACTTTGAGCAGAGCATTGCAAGTCACTATAAAATTTTAAAGCAAGTTTAAGTTGGGAGTATGGAACATCAGTTTCATGGGGTCCATTCACAATCAACACACAATTAGTCAGCACAAACAAATGACATTCAAAGCCCACCTCCTCCAGGTGAAGATAATGACTGGTCAGCTTGAAAGATGTTTAGGACTCATCTATCTGGTCCTGCACCAAGACCACAGAAAATTGAAGTTAAATCTTCAATCAGCCTAGTTCTGCAATTATAGGAATTATGCAGGAAGATATCTAATAATCATGAACATGATGACATTGTGCCTTAAGAGAGAGAGAGAGAGAGAGAGAGAGAGATGACTAACCTGCATGTCTGAAGTCCAAAGAGTGAGATTGTCCCTTAGCAGTTGCATAATGAGAGTGCTGTCCTTGTATGATTCTTCACCTAGAGTGTCAAGTTCAGCTATTGCTTCCTCAAATGCCTGTACACAAGGACAACAATGAGTTGCATCAATAGAAGTCCAATATGCTGCTTTGAAAATGAGAACCTCTGTATAACACCAGCCTCTAGTATAATTTATAGCAACATGATATGCAGTTATGCACAAGAGGCAGACTGAGGGTAACTCACAAAAGGTCACTTGATTCCACAATTAGAGAAAATTTTAATCTTGGCATGGAAAAAACACAAACATGCACACATGCAGACGCTTGGATATACTTAACAATTCATTTTGACACAACATGCCTTAATCCCAAAGGAAATAATAATCCATTACCAAGCATACTATGGAGCCCACCAAATTACAGCAAAGAGAAAACACAACTCCATCCATAATGACATATAAACAGCAATATAGAACAAATAATCAACACAAGGATATCCAAGCAATCATTTGAGTCTTTATATCCAAGTAAGACTCAACTGTTTTTAATTTAATAAAAAAAACACAGACGTACAGCACTCATCTGAAATGATTGAAATGAGTCAATATGCCCACCAGGCCCCGTGCTTTATTTTATCGTTTATTTTTTATAAATACAATAGAGTCCTATGCATGTGAAAACAAAATTAGAGAACTTCAATTGTAAGTTTAAATTAATAGGCCAAAGAGAAAATAATAAGTTTAATAGTCACAAGTATCCGTATTTATATTGGTTGTACCGACCTTCTACATTATATGAACTCGCGTACGAGTGTCGGGTGTGGATATATATTTAGGAGTCAGACTCCGCAAACCTCTAAATGAAGGATATGCGGGTACGTCTAAAAAGTATCCAAAAATTTGACATGGGTACATGGATACGGCCAAACATAAATGTGTCACAAAAAAAAATTCAAAACATTTTTTTTGATTTTAGATGGCAACTCAAAATATTACACTTGATGTTAATTTTTATTATTATTATTTTTTTTAAGTGGGATCACCTCATTAGTAACCTAACCAATGTTTCAATAACAGAAAGTGAAAGAACTAATCATAAAATATTAAAAATAATAAGTAGCTCATGAGACTAGAGAAGGAGTTAACACAAAGTTGGAGATTTGAAGAAAAGCTCTTGAATCTAAAGGATTTCAGATAAGCAGAACTAAGACAGAGTACATGGAGTGTAAATTTAGTAACAGTAACAATAAAAGCAGAGGAGAAGTGAAGATTGAGAACCAAGAACTGCCTAAAAGTGAACATTTTCATTATTTAGGGTCGATTATCACAACAGCGGGAGAGATTGATGCAGATGTGGCCCATAGGATTAAGGCGGGATGGTGTAAGTGGAGAAGTGCGTCTGGGGTATTGTGCGATAAACGAATACCCACTAAACTAAAAGGTAAGTTTTATAGAACGGCTATTAGACCAGCTATGTTGTATGGGACGGAGTGTTGGGCAACTAAGAAACAACATGTAGATAAGATGAGTGTGGCTGAGATGAGGATGCTAAGGTGGATGTGTGGTAAGACCAGACAGGACAGGATTAGGAATGAGTGTATTCGGGAATGGGTAGGAGTAGCACCGATAGAAGATAAGTTGAGAGAGAATCGTTTGAGATGGTTTGGTCATATTCAACGGAGACCAACAGAGGCAGTAGTGAAGAGATGCGATGCTGTAACGGTAGATGAAAGTGTTAGGGGACAGGGTAGGCCTAGATTAACGTTGACTAGCGTTATAAATAGAGATATGAATCTATTTAATTTGACTAATGAAATGGCCTTTGATAGGGCTGCGTAGAGAAAAGGATTTATGTAGCCGACCCCATTTGATGGGACTTAAGGCTTGGTTTGGTTTGGTTTGGTTAGCTCATGAGAGTAGGAAACATTTTATTGTCTTCTCTCTCCATCGCATTCTCTCTCACTCCATCTCTCTCCATTAGAAGCTCTCTCTCTCTCTCTCAAGACCATCTAGATTACAGCTTTGAATCGAAGCCCTAGGGTCGTTTTCTGGGGGGAATCAATTTCGTGAAGTTGGGTTTCAACCTATGTTACCAGAAAATGGTAATACCTTAACGAATTATGTATAGGTAATCACATTCCAAAACATGGTACTTTTCCATTCCAAAATGATAAATTTAGTGATCCGAAGCGATCTTCAAATTTTTTTCCAATATATTTCCTTAAATGTAAACTTAGGAGTAAAAAAATCAAATATATGAACTAAAATCTAAGGTGAGTTACGCTTTGACAAGACAAAAAATCAAAAATGGGTCATAATTATCATAGAAATGATTTGCAACATGAAAGAAGCAAAAAATTTATTGGATAGTTAATTGTTAAAAAAAAATTACTCTAGAAGTACCTTAAATTCTTAAGTGTAATATATATAAGTCTACTCCTGTCGTATCACATTTTAGAGCATGTGACATACCACGTTCCCGTTTCATGTACCGGAACAATCCACGTTCTATGTAACATAGGTTTCAACTCTCCTTCGATTCGGTTGAGTTCGCGACTAAGGTTCGCATTTCAATCTTGCTTCGTGAAGTTGGGTTTCAGCCCCTCTTTGGCATTCCTATTCAAACCATGAAAAGCAGCCATATCCGTTTGTATTTAGCCGTATCCAGCCGTATTATGCACCTGTACCAGTGTCGTGTCCACAGGGGTAGCACTTAAAAAACAAAGAGTCCATGTAACATAGCCAACCTTCTCATTTTTCCTAACCATTATTTCCAATAAACATCTTGTGACATATATCACCACATAGCATACATCAACTAGAAAACCTAGAAAGGAAGGAAGCAATTTATTTCAAGTTCCAAATCAGCTAATTACCAACTTGCAATGTAAGAAGCAACTTTTTTGTTTAAAATCTACAACAAAAGTGGGTGGAAGAGATTATTTATCAACAACAAAAATAACAACAACAACAACAACAACAACAAAAAGTGGATGGAAGAGAACCACCATACGCAACTTGCAAATAATTTCTCTTCCATCCGGCCATCAACAAAACAAACCAATTTTTAATAACCGGAGCAGACCAACCAGTTCAACCGGTTGGCCAGTCTAGGTTCCAATCCAGATGAACCATTAAACCCATTTCAAGTAGAGAACCGGCTTATTTTTAAATAACCGTTAAGTACCGGGTTTGAACCAGCTACCCATTCAAAACAGAGGCCCAGCCAAACATCTTTTAAAAAACAAATGCTGGTGTTGAGGCTTGAACGTGCAACCTAACAGCTGGAAGCATAGGCATGAACCACTACACTACCTTGTGAATAATTGGTAACTATGTAATATTTATTGCATTCACTGAACTTTTTCAAGCATCCAATGTAATTAGTTTTTTCACTAGCAATGAATCTAAAAATAATTTAAATAAACGTATTTTATGTAAATATATATGAATTTTAAAATATAAATATACACATCGGGTTAAACCAGTGACCAGTAACCTTTTTGGCTTGCTCAACGGTCTATGTTTCAAAACATAATAACAATTAACAAACCGTCAGCATAATATCATTGCTCTAAGAAAAGTAATGTAATTCAAGCCAGATTATCCAAATCTGGATCATAATAAATCATAATCATGCATACACATAAGAAAGCTTGACCAACATAACGAAGTTTCAAATTAGAGGAGGTAATCGTAGCACAATCTAATTCACAGGATTGCCACAATGATTGAGTTTATGCCCATTCGAGCAAAACAAGCATTTTGAGGACTATTTGAAAAATAATACTCATGTATGTATAACAACTCTTTTGAGTCCCAACCAAAATAGGTAACTCGAAAATGACACATTCCAGAGTTTTGAAATGTTTTCAATTTTGACAATTACCAATTACAGTGGCGAAGTCCCTATTTATTGATGTTAAACTTCAAAGTTCTGTAATGGAAACCCGTCCAGTGTCTTTGCACTTAAAGGTCTGCAGTCTTTGTGCATGTCAGCACATATGCACACGGGGGAGAGAGAGAGAGAGAGAGAGAGAGAGATTCTGATAAATATCTAGCTATAGATGGACTTTTTGGGTCAGTAATCTGAACCTACATTCCTCAAATTGAGGGGGCAATTTTCAAAAAAATGGATAAAAGAATCCTCCCAAATTTATATCATTCATTACTACAGCAATCATTGAAATAAAAACATCTGGAATTGCCCACAAAAAAATTTCCCACTTTGACAAGTGAAAACTGAAGTAGTAAACTCTTCTAGCTCTTCTATGGAAACACGAAATTGTTTCGGCAATTTTATCAGGTTTGCAGAATGTAGATAATAGATATGATATAATTGACAGACTATACTTCCATCTCTAAAACTCATTATTAAAAACTAAAATACTTACAGGGGGCTTTAACCAAATTATTTGGAATATATCACTTGCTAAACCCTATTCCTAATTGAAAGGCATAAAGCAAGTCAATGGACAGCTGCCACATCAAAATCAAATCCCCAATGATACAGGAAAGATTCATTAAATCATTTTCATTTCCAAATGAGTCCTTCAGTGAAATTCTTACCAAACCCCCTCCTAACCAAGCCATATACACAATAATTATCTTATTATAATAAATTAATGCCATCACAAGATAAGGTAAGATCAATTCATATCAGAAGAATTTGCATATGAAATCACAAACTGAACAAACAACTTGGGAAATTTAATTAATGGAAAGAAGAATACCTGTTTTGCCATACTACAAGCCTTATCAGATGAATTGAGAATCTCGTAGTAGAACACCGAGAAGTTGAGAGCTAAGCCCAGCCTTATGGGATGTGTCGAAGCCAGATCAACCAGTGCAATATCCTTCAACAACATCAACAACACAAAATCAAAACTCCAAACTTTCATATCTATTCCTAGCCCTGACTTCACAATCTAGTATATACTTTCAAAACCCACATGCCCAAATGTGTTATCAGTCCTCATGTTCATTGCTAAATCCAGAATATACAATTATCTGAGTCACTCCAAACCCCCTAGTCACTTTCTGACCCTATATTCAAAATGTCTAATATACTAAGCCCCCCAAAACCCTAGAATAAGAAGCAAAATTCAACACACAATAACAGTAGATGAAGCCCTAACTTCAAAATTTCCAAGAAACAATCATCGAAAACCCTAAATTCAATTACCTGAGCAGCCTTATAAGAGTTCATAGTGTCTTCACCAGCCTGCTTTCGCTCATCACCGACCTTGAACTCAGCAAGATACCTATGATAATCGCCCTTCATCTTGAGATAAAAAACCTTGGACTCGCCAGTGGTCGCGGAAGGCACGAGATTGGAGTCCAACAGCTTCAAAATCCCAGCGCAAACCTGAGAGAGCTCGGACTCGACCTTGGATCTGTAGTCCTTGACCAAAACCACATGGTCCTCGTTCTTGCGAGACTCTTCCTTCTGCTCGATCGACGATACGATCCGCCAAGCGGCGCGGAGAGAGCCGATCACGTTCTTGTAGGCGACGGAGAGGAGGTTACGCTCCTCCACGGTGAGCTCGCCGGCTGGAGTGGCGCCGAGGACCAACTTTTCCATGAAGTTGACCATCTCTTCGTAGCGCTCGGCTTGCTCGGCGAGTTTAGCCACGTACACGTACTGTTCTCTCGTTAAGTTTTCTGGTACTGACATGGCCGCCATTGATGAGCAGATGTAGAGAGAGAAAGAGAGAGAGAGAAAGAGAGAGAGTCGTCGCCGTCGTTTTCTTTCTCGGTATTTATAGTTCCCGATATGGGCCTCGTTCAAATTGGATTCGTCAAATTTTCATTGGTCCTGGGATTGAATTTGTTAAAATTTTACATATTATGGAATTGTTTGAAATGTCTTAAACAAACGTGTTTTTTGATTTTTTATAAAATATAAATTGAATTTAAAATGATATGATAAAGGCTTTATTTAGTAGGGTTTATTTTTAATTTATTTTAGTTTTTATTTTAATTTAAGATATTTTGATGTGTTTGGTTTAGTTTAACAATACAGTTTATAATTTTTTGTAAGTCAAAAATTAATTTATTTTTTGAGTGGAGGAGTAGAAGCTTAATTTATAAGTTAAAAATTAACTTATTTACAGCTATAAGCTATAAGCTGTTAAGTTATGAATTATAGCTGCACCAAACAGGCACATAATCACTTTCTCACGGCTCTACTAAACGGGATCAAAGAGGTAATGTGACTTGAATAAGATAATAATTTTTTAACTTTTCGACTTTTTTTAAGAGAGATCAAACTTAACATAAAATTTCAATTTTATATTTAACATTTATTTAAATAATAAAATAAATATATTATTTATATATTAAATAATTACCACACAGGTATAACTTTATAATTTTTTTAATTTGTTATTTGCTTCGAATTCAAATCAAATCCAAGTTAATTCAATTCGAAGTCAGTAAAAATTTTATTAAATTTGAATTTAAGTTTAAACTTATTAAAATTTTAATAAATAAATCTAAACCTAATAAAGTTTTCCACCAGACCCGTTTCCACTGTTACTTGTATGTGTGTGCGCGTAATATCAGACGTTGATTACATGTTTCTTTGAGGTTGACTCGTGATATACCTTTAAACGGTGTCGTTTGCGGAGGGTAAACTTCCAACACCTCCAACCCTGATTCTGCAACCAAGCTCTTTCCCCAGAACTCACCTCCGTCTCTCTCTCTCTCTCTCTCTCTCTCTCTCCATCGCATTATGGTTCTTCCAATTCAGGTATATTTCTCTCTCTCTTTCCGTGTTTTTTTTTTTGTTACAGAGAGTTTGAATATGTATATACGAACTGATATTTGTTGAGTGGGTGACAATAATTCTAGTTAAGAAGCTCAATTTCTTTAATTTTATCTGTTTGATTACTTTCTTAATTTCAGTTTTTATGCTATCAGATTCAAATTCGCGGTTCTAAACTTGTATTTGCATAGAAATATATGGGTGGTATAGATTGTAGAGAGTTTAGTTTTTTTCATGGAAAACGATTGATTCATCACTAGGGTTTTTATCAGGGAGCTTGAAAACATCTGCCCAATTTCTCAGAAATTATGGTGAACAATGTTCCCAGGCTTCCTTTATATTGTTTCAAGATTATTTGTTTGTGTCCCTTTAGTTGAATGTAATTTCTCAATACATGTTATTGTTGTTAGAAAGAAAGAAAAATAAAATAATTGACAAAATATTTCTTGTCTTCTTCAGATGATGTGTGTAGGCTATATTTAATAACCCAGGCAGTTTTCATATAATGAAAGTCGCTTACCATAATCACCGCTGGTTCTCTACGTCGCCTTCTATGGCGTCTTCTTCAATTCCATGGATTTCCCCACTTCAGTTTCTCAAAACCACCTCCCCAAAACCAGACCTTCCTACCGAAACCATGACTAGTTTAGTGGAAGCTCGAAGGAAACCCAAATTTATCTCTCATGAGTCTGCCGTCAACTTGATCAAGCGTGAGAGGGATCCACAACATGCCCTGGAGATATTTAACAAGGTATCAGATCAAAGGGGTTTTAATCACAATAATGCTACGTATGCAACTATTCTTGATAAGCTTGCTCGGTCCAAGAAATTTCAGGCAGTTGATGCGATTCTTCATCAGATGAAATACGAGACTTGCAGATTTCATGAGGGCGTATTCCTTAATCTCATGAAACATTTCTCGAAATCCTCTCTTCATGAGAGAGTGCTTGAGATGTTCAATGCCATCCAGACAATTGTTCGCCAAAAGCCCTCCCTTAAAGCCATCAGCACTTGTCTCAATCTCCTGATTGAATCGAATCAGGTTGATTTGGCAAGAACGTTCCTTGTGAATTCAAAGAAGAATCTCAACTTGGAGCCTAACACCTGCATTTTCAACATCTTGGTTAAACATCACTGCAAGAATGGGGATCTCGAATCTGCTTTTCAAGTGGTGGAAGAGATGAAAATGTCTAAAATTTCTTATCCTAACTTGATCACCTATTCAACTATGATGGATGGTCTTTGTGCAAGTGGAAAACTCGAAGAAGCAGTTGACCTGTTTGAGGAAATGGTCTCAAAAGATCAGATCTTGCCTGATGCTTTAACATACAATGTTTTGATCAATGGGTTTAGCTGCAGGGGAAAAGTTGACCGGGCCAAGAAAATAATTGAATTCATGAATAAGAATGGTTGCAACCCAAACGTGTTCAATTACTCGGCCTTAATGAATGGGTTTTGTAAGGAAGGAAGATTGCAGGAGGCCAATGAAGCTTTTAATGAGATGAAGAGGATTGGTCTGAAACCCGATACAGTTGGTTATACCACTTTGATTGATAGCTTTTGTAAGGCTGGGAAAATGGATGAAGCTATGGAGTTGCTCAAAGAGATGAAGGAAAAAGAATGCAGAGCTGATACTGTAACCTTCAATGTGGTAATTGGAGGATTGTGCAGACAAGGTAGGTTCGAGGAGGCTCTTCGGATGCTTTATAAGCTACCTAATGAGTGTGTTTACCTGAACAAAGCAAGTTACAGGATTGTGTTGAATTTTTTGTGCAAGGAAGGGGAATTAGGTAAGGCAGTTGAGTTGTTGTGTTTGATGCTGAGTAGGGGATTTGTGCCACATTTTGCAACTTCAAATGAGTTATTGGTTCGTCTCTGTGAGGCTGGAAAGGTAGCTGATGCTGCGATGGTATTATTTGGATTGGTAGAGATGGGGTTCAAACCAGAGCCTGATTCATGGAGCCTTTTGGTTGACTTGATATGCAGAGAAAGAAAGTTGTTGCCTGCATTTGAACTACTGGATGAGTTAGTTTTAGTGGAACAGTGAATTAGTCAGTGATTTACTCTAGAGAAGTGACAGGAATTTTGGTTTTTGACATGAATAAAGCTGATAAAGATGGGCAACAGTAATGGAAAAGAAGAATAACAGCAGGCGTGGTTGGTCACATGAACTTGCACTACACCACCGACTTTTGCCTCCGACTCCACCTTGTCGTTGCACTACACAGCCTTGAACAATTACTCTGGATGTGCCCCATTCAATTGAAATAGAGAAGAGGTTGGAGTGCAAACAATAACCCTGGTACGTAAATCACTCTAGCTGTGCCTCTCCTGATATTCTTGCATTGTGTTTTATGAAATGCCTACTTGGATGTTTTGGATAGACATGTTAGAGTTCTATCACGGTTATCTCTTCTTTTGTACTATGCTTCTTGATTTCCCTTTCTATTCCTTGTATTTATTTCCATATGATTTTGTATCCCTATTCTTTAATCAACCTTCTTTTAGCTGTTCTTGTTTGTTTTGAGTTGGTAGTTTAGTTTCCTGCTTTTAAGTTGTACTTGCAGTGTTTGGTTTATGAGTAATTGTTGGAGTAGGGATTGAGTCTCTCACTGTCAACTTTAGATGGACCTTGCACTATTTCCTCTTTGTTTTTTTTTGTTTTTTGTTTTTTGTCATATTGCATTCTTTTTTCCGCCAAAGAGTAAGGAGGTCCCCATGCTCTACTTCTGTGGGGGCCAACTAGTATATTTTTAGAAGGTGCTGGTGAAACCACCCATCTTGTTCCAACTTGCAGCTTCTCCGAAGTAGAGTGGCCACATTAACTAGCATCACTTCTGGTTTTGTAGTGGGGTCAATGAGAACTGCATTGGAACTGGAATTGGAGTGTATTCAAACCCCTTTTCAATGTACAAATTCACATTTTTTATTTTGTTATATTTTATATCAGAATCGTTGAAGATGTATGCATATCTTGACCAAATCCAGGAGAGTTTGTTCATCCATTACGCTTTTTTACATTAACACTGGAACAGTTTTTTAGGGATGTTTTTGTGAATCTATAAAATATTGAATATTACATTCCATTCTGACAATTTTTTAAGTACAACAGTGACCATGACATCCTTTGACAAAATAAGGTCATATAAGAGACTGAACACTTCGGTAGCCCTAGTGTAAATTTATTTCCCATATTTTTACTGTTTCTATTACCGCCTCTGATATTTTCTGTGTGGGCAGATATTATTTCATCCTCAGTTTTATTGGTTGGATGTTCGAATTCATTTATTACCAATACAACACTGACACAGTGACACCCATTGAGCAAGCAGCTATCAGACTTGGACTGTAGTCATATGTAATTCAAGTCAATTCTCACCATGCCAGAACTTCAACATGCCAACATTGTCAATGCCAATGAAGTTACTTTTGTCCTTCCTTTTTTTCTTAAGCATTGTTCTAACTTGATTCTCTGTAATCTAATAGTCCAAACTCAATTTATATAGTTTTGCCTTTTCTTCTTTTATCTAATTTTTATAGAGATATGGTGACTGTTATGAATCAAAATTATTCAGCTGGTTCATACTAATTTTAAGTGTATTTTCCGGAACTGAGGCAATTTTAAGTAATCATTGATGTTTGCAAACCAGCTTTTCTCTCAGTTCACATAATTGCAAGCTGGTTTTTTTCTCGGTTCACACCATTTTATTTGTTCGGATGTTAATTGCAGAACAAAAATTAATTATTGAAAGTCGAGTACCAAACTGAATTTTCATTCCGTAGTTGATATTTGAACTATTAATTTTTATTTAATAATTTATCCAATTGGGAAAATGGTGTGAAGTGAAAATTTTAGTATTGTGAGGATAAAAGCTCCCCGTACATGAGAGAAATAATTGTCGTCTTCCGTACATCTTGCTGCCAAGCTCGTCTAGCTCCAAATGAACTCCGACTCACTACGAACAAAACAATAATGAGCTACTCGGCAGGTGGTTTGTTGGAAAACTCCTCTGACGGTTAAGTTAGTTTACTTGAACAAGAAGAGAGAGTGCAAAATGCTAGAGAGAGAATTAAATTGTATTGGAGAGAAATAATCATCGTCTTTTGTATGCCTTGTTGCCAAGCTCGTCTTGCTTCAAATGAACTCCGACTCACTGCAAACAAAAATAGTGAGCTACCCGGCAAGTAGTTTGCTGAAAAACTCCTCCAACGATCAAGTTAGTTTACTTGAAGAAGAAGAGAGTGTGCAGAATGCTAGAGAGAGAATTGCTAATGTTTGCCTACCCATTCTGATTGTCCATGTGCGCCTTATCTAGTCTGGCCTTGTAGTCCAAGATTGTGTGCGCACTACTTCTGTCGTCCTTTGCTGGACACGTGACAATATTATCCTCTCTTTCCTTTACTCATGTGTGCATCAATACCGCCAAACAACACCGGCCAAACTGCCAAACGATATTGACGCGTATTTTAGGCAAATTCCTCGCCCTATTCTCCATTAGGCCACGTGGAACATCCTAAACCCTCACGTGTGCTCACTCCACAAATCCATACGCCGAGCTAATACACGTCGGTCTCAAGAGTAGCATCTTATCTCGGCCATGATCCTCGCAGCATTGATCTGCAGCTCGGTCAAGGGTGGTTGGCTCACCCTTGAACCAACTCAACTCGTAATCAGAGCACCTTCTACACCGTGGCTCAATCTTAACCGGCACAGCCAACGATTACGATCCAGGTCCTTCCTAGCTCAGCCTAACTCCATGAACAATTTAGCTCGCTTAATTTACACAGCATAAATTTCCCCCTCCCTCCCTAGAAAGTCTTGCTCAGTGTTGCGACTGCTTCCGTTCAAAAAAATAAGTGTTGCAACTGCTAGCTAGCTTGAATTGACCAATTAGCAAAAACTACGACAGACCCTCTAAAGCAACAATACAAACCGATCCAAACAAATTTATTCTCAACTAGGGCCAATATAAATTTATTTAAATCCACCACAAACAAATGGAAGCTTGTATTTGCACACTCATATTTCTCAATTAACACTTTTTTTTCGTTCATTTATCAATAAATCAAACATCAAATTGGTTATGTTCCATAGTTGATATCCAAATCATGAATTTTAGTTCATAACCACGTCATGAATTTTTGTTTGGTAATTGATATCCGAACAAAACAATAGTGTGAAGCGAAAAATTTTGTGATGTACAAGTAGAAGCTCCCAAAACAAACCTGCATTCGACATTCAACATTACCAAAACCACCCATACCGATCCTATGACAACCTGAAAAAACATTGCATGTTGCTTTCTCGTGAAAGATTATTCATCAAAATTGCTCGTGTATCTCACAACAAAATCATTAAAATGTGGATGCTACTGAATATTCCGCATTGCAGGAGGAACCCAGAAGCTGAGAGATTTTTATAAATACAAATCATCCAGAGGTTTCAGAGCAACCTTGAGATATACCGGTACTATAATGGTAAAATGGATTACTAGTTATTTATTTCCCATTTACACAAACACAAAGTAACTTTAAGCCCACTACTAAGCCCAAACTGCTGAGTCATCAATCTAAACTCTACCACACGAGTACAGTATAGCATGAAGGATCATCATGGATGTACCAAGAAGGAAATCTGTGCAGGTTTTGAAATTACCAGATCGAATGCTTGATTCCAAGGCCATTGCATGTTAAAATAAGGCCTTTGTAACGGTTAAGATACTCCTGCACTCCCAAATTTAAGCAAAAAGAATATAAATTGTTAGAAGCGTTTTCATCACAAATGAACAAAAGCAAAAAAAACAATAAATAAATCAATGACAAAAAGGGCAAAATTCTTACCATTATATTGTAATCATACATGTCCAGCATCCCATTCTTGTCATATTCTCGCCTTTGGATAGGATCACTCAAAACTGTTACGTAGAATCAAAATAAGCTATTTGTTGAATTGTTTTATTCTACACTGATATAAGTATTTTCTTATTAGGCCATTAAAGTAACTGAAATTTTTGCTAAGCTGCATAGTGCGCAAATGGTGACATTATTCTGTCTTTTTGACTCCATAATGATATGAAAAACAACCTCAATCCCATGGCCCGAGTATAGATGAACAATCATCATTTATGTCAAAATCGTGGAGCTAATAATTGTAATTTCTCTAAATCTTACAGGAGGTTGGTGTAATTTACCCTTGATTTTGTTGGGAAAATGGGTTTTTGGTGACTTTGGTTCTAAATTCCTTGTAACAAGATCTTTATACCACAAAAAAGAATGACCAAAAACCATTGAGAATTGAATGAGAAATTATGTCATAAAGTTGGCCTCAAAATGAGAGATTGAGAATGATGATTGAGCATTTTACACGTGGTCTAACCATAAGAGACACATGGCCTAACTATGAAGAACACATGGCCTTAATAGTGTCTTAGACCATGAGACACACATGGCCTAACCATGAAGGACACATGATTTTGGAAGCCATGAGGTATACATTGCCTTACCATATGTGTTGCCAAAGATGCCTATATAAGGGCATGCTCATTGTGAAGAATCATGTTCTCTCCTCCTCTTTTTCCCGTTGTGTATAAAAAAAAACCATCATCTTTGGTTGGAATACAAAAATCTTTTGCTCTCATATTATAGTCAGTTTGCTCCTATAATATTCTTCATGTGTGAGAGAGTGTTGTCATTGTTAGTTCGCTGGAGCTAAAACAGAAAGTGTTTCAGTATTAGCGAGTTCTAAGCCGACATACCTCCAACATTCACGGTGAGGCGGCGAATCTGATTTAAGGAGACTGTGGTATCACACAGGCTTCGGTTTGCTTTCTTTTTTTTTATTTTTGTTATATGTATTTGTGTTCATTAAGTAGAGTGATTTAGTCCCATGATTTCTTATTTCGTAAATCAATTTAATTAAATATGAATCTGTTTATTTTTTATGTAAATACGTAATTTGTACAACAGATTTGTACCTCCTACTAACCCCGCATTCCAAACAAACATATATACAAGTTCAATTTCTTCTTGTGGGAAATTAAGATTCCCATGCATACCATCCCCTGAACCATAAATCAACTTCACCGCCTTTGCATCATTTTTAAAATTCAGAAACATAATCTAAAAATTAAGATCTACACCAAATTATTCCAACTAACACACTCATGCATCCATTTCTCATATCAAATTAGCTTTCACATAAAGACATCCATCAATTTTATAATTCAGTCCGTCTTTCCTAAACCTGAATAATTTCTCCGAATTTCTATAGACATTTCCTCAAAGACTGTCTCTCCCAATCCACAACCTCAATAACTACTCACCCTACTAGTGCTATACATGATAAATGTCAAAAACAATTTTCTAAACCTGCGTCTTTCTTGGTACAAACAAACTTCCCTATTTCAGTTGCCCAACCACCCCCAAACTACTAGAATAAACATTGAAATTTTATTGAAACAACATGTTACATATCTACAGGATTTATAAACCATTAACGAATTCAAGGCCAGAAAGATATACCCCACATTTTCCAAACTGAGCTTTATAATGTTAGTATTTAGCACTTGACAAGGACCAATGCACAAGTTTTGGAATATAAGATGGAATTGAAATTATTCAGTGTTTAACCAAAAGAAAACGATAAAATACTGACCCTGATAAGCCTCGTTTATTTCTTGGAATCTTGACGTAGCATTATCCTGATCCTTTTGCTTGTCTGGATGCCATTTCTGTCCAAACCAAGCCAATGTGAGTCAAGAAAGAAGAAAAAAAGGTACAGTTCAGACCTTGAATAAGATTCTACAAATAAACCCAAGTCCGAAATCCTTTCAACTAAAGTCATAGCTTGATAAAGAGAGTGATGCAGAGTATAAGCTCAAGGAAGGCTAAATTTAAAGAAGCGATAATATTTGGACATTGTCATGATTTTATAGAAAAACTGATAGAAATCTTCTATAATTATGTTTCTAGTATTATTAGAATCTTATTTTATAATTATATTTATGTTTTCTAGGATTTTAAGCTTAGGGTATTTTGATAATTTTATATTTGCTAACATGGGCTGTAAGGGATGCTCATGGGTCGTCTTGTGAGTCAACTTATTTTAATTAGTTTTTATTTATATTTCTTATTTGGTTTTAAATTGATTTTAGAAGTCAAAGATATTTTAATAGTTTTCTTTTTTAGTTCCAGTTGGTTTAGGAAGTCTCTAAAATCTATATAAAGTCATGTAATTCTTCTAATTCAATAGAGTTTATATTTTAGAGAATTTTTCAGAACTTTTGAAGCTTCTTATGGATTGTGTGATGAACCCTAACCCTACATGCGATACCTATGGAATCTAAGTGCGATACCTAGACCTATTGTCTTCTCTTCTTTCTTTTTCTTTTTTGTTTTAGTTTACTGTTCACGAGTTACTGCTCACAGCCTCATAACAGCTCCTAAACAGTGCTAAAATCCCATCTTTTCATGCTTAAACTCTTACCTATTTATTACCCTGAACAAACCCTACTTGTTCCCTATATCCTTATTGCAATTGCAGCCATAAAATCCAATTAAAATCAGCCCCAAAAGCCTAGATTTGCTGGTGTCCCTAATTGTCCTGCATCAGTTTGGTATTAGAGCTTAAGGTTCTGCCATGATGTTTTCACATTGTGGGAGATCCAATACAAGTGGATTAACTTGGGAAGAAGGTAGAGCGCTTTTTAGAGAAAAAATTTGTCTAAAGGATCTTCAAGATGATTTTCTTGATCAATAGCATGCTCTTGGGCAAAGTGATATGCGTGTGATTGATTATGCAAGAAAATACAAGGAATTATTTATCAAATCTGAAGTGGTAGAAAGTCAATGGATGACTATTGCTCGTTTCAAAAGTGGGTTGAGATCTAGAATTAAAGAAGAGATGTCTCATGCATATTTGAAAAATCTCGAAGATGCTATTGAAACGACTATGCAATTTGAGTTTATCATAAAATTTAAGGAGAAATCTACAGTTTTGAAGCCTACTACAAAGGGAGGATTGCTGCAACAACCACAAAATTGTGTGAGACATGCATCACAAGTAGCACCAAAACCAAAGATTGTTGTCAAAGATGCGCAACTGAAGTCAAAAGTGAAAGAAACCAATCAGATTTTGTCCAAAAGACTAGATTATTATGGATAAAAAAGGCTCCCATTCATGAGATAAAAGTGCTACAAGTGAATTCTCAAATTGTTCAAGAAGAGGCTAGGGATCAAATTAAAGATTTGGATACCATACAAGCAACAGACGCTGAAAAATTAAAGCAAGCAAAGCCTGATTCTGAGCAACATATGCCTTTACAGGTCTCTAACTCATCACCTGAATTTTTGGATGCGGTGCCAACCAACTCATCTAATGAGTCTCTACCCATGACTAGTGTCCAGCATATAACAAAGTCACAAGAGGATTGCAAAATTGAATTGCATGATGACATTTTGGTTGAGGTAAAGGTTGAGAATATTAAATCCCTGGTTGTTGATGCACGCAGTAGCATTCAAATTGATTGCAAGCAAAATATTGCAAAGCCAAAAGAGAATGGCATGGATGAGGGGGCTATTCAACACTAAGATCAATTCAAGGGTTCACATTCTACATCAATTGATTTTGTTATTCTAGAAAAATTTAGCTTTAGAGTTGAAAATATCATATTGCTTCCATTGCTACCTCCAATGAGGAAGAAATGATGCTACCAACTTGAAGATTTTAACGTGAAGCCATGGATGCAATTTCAAAGCTTGTGAATCCTTATACTCAAACACTTCAAAACTCAAGATCGAGTTTTTTCCAACCAAGCGAGAATGATATAGAGTATAAGAAGTTCAAGAAATGCTAAACTTAAAGATGCGATGATACTTGGACATTGTCATGATTCATAGAAAAACTAATAGAAATCTCCTATAATTATGTTTTTAATATTATTAGAGTCTTATTTTATAATTATATTTATGTTTTCTAAGATTTTAAGCTTAGGGACATTTTGATAATTTTATATTTATGGTATCTGGGTGCGATACCTAAACCTATCTTCTTCTCTTCTTTCTTCTTCTGTTCTGTTTTAGTTTATTGTTCACGAGTTACTGTTCACAACCTCATAACAACCCCTAAACAGTCCTAAAATCCCATCTTTTCATGCTTAAGCTCTTACCTATTTATTGCCCTAAACAAACGCTACTTGTCCCCTGTATTCTTATTGCAATTGCAGCCATAAAATCCAATTAAAATCAACCCCAAAAGCCTAGATTTGCTGCTGTCCCTAATTGTCCTGCATCAGAGAGTTATGCTTTTGCTGGCTTATAAGTAAATTTAACAAATTAAGCAGTCAAAATATGCATTAGCACCTTCAACCCTTACCAAAATCTTGACTACATAAATTTGAGAAAACACCCACTAAAATCCTCTCCACTCCTTTACTCAACAAATTGAGTTTTACTCAAATCAGGGCAGACCCATTCCATTTACTCAAATTTCTATCCAATCAAAACTCAACACATAAGTGCTTCTACCCAAAATTTTCAAATTCTCCTTTACTCAACATCCACTCAAAACTTGACACTTAGAAAATTTTACTCAAATTTGAGTTTATCCATTCCATTGGAGTGCTTCATATCAATTGAAGCGTTTTACTCAAACTTCTCCTCAATTTGAGCAAAATACATAAGGGCTTTACAGGAATCAAATTTAACTTTGAGTAAAAATCCCCCAAAACCATCTCCAATACTTTACTCAAACTCATACCATTATGGAGCTTTTACTCAAGAATTTGCTTGAATCAGAGTTTTTCCATTCAAATGCTTACGTGTAAAAATAAAACTTGTACTCAAAATTAGATAATCCCGTGCAAAAAATTTAAAAAATTAAAAAACAATCCAAAAAAATAAGAAGAAGACGAAGTAGATGAAGCAAAGACGAACCAATGCAAGACGGATATAGTTGGATCGAATGGCATCATCGGCAGCATCATAATCAACTTCCAATATTCTATAGTAATCCTACACATATTACAATTACAACAGCAAAAGTCATAATCGGAACCACAATTTTCAACATTATAAAATGAATGTCTCAAAAAAAACCCTAATTTGTACAAAAACCTTGGGCTTGGAGAGAACAGAGAAGAAATCGAATTTGAGATACGAGTCTTGTTGATCTTCTTCTTGTTGTTGTTGTTGTTCAGTGTCTTCGTTTTCAGGAGCATCGTCGTCGTCTCGGTACCATTCGTCCCACATCATGTTTGTTGATTTTGGGATTCCAGAGGCTCTGCACAAAGCGTGAAATTGGAGATTTTTTCAGGGTTTGGTGATTTTTGGGATAGTGAAATGGGAAGTTGAGTCAGATGATATATTGCGTGTTTTTGTATGTCAATCGGGGATCATAGAGACACATGGCATTCCTATATGCATAGATGTGTCCCATTTTCCTTCCCTACATTTTTTATGTTTTAAATTTTTTTGTTACACTATTAGAAAGGATAAATTACAAATAAAAAATCTCAAATTCTTTAGGTCCGTTTGTTTTCAGAAGTAGAATGGAAGGAATTCATAGTGAGGGGATTGATAGTAAGGGGATTAAGTAAAATTGTATTTGTTTTGATGATAGTTGTTAGTGTAAGAATTGTTAAATTATTTTTATATAAAATAATAAAACAAATAAAAAAATATAAAAAATTAAACATTAATATTTATAAAAAAAATTCTCAATATATAAAAAATAAAAAAAATAAAAAAATTTCTAATCCCCTCACTATTTTTCTAATACCATCTCCCCAACCTCCATCTCAATCCTCTCCCCAACCTCTATCTATATCACCTCCACCATCTTAATCCCCTCCCCAACTCTACAAACAAACACAACACTAAATAACACCTCCACCATCCTAATCCCCTTCCATCTACATAACCCAAAACAAACGGACCCTTATATCATATCAATCTACTAGCGTATGCCCGTACCTGAAGGCACGGTGCAATTAATGATGACATTAGGGTTGGTTTGGGGTGTCCTAAAAAAGTGCACTTTTTGTCTTTTTACGAAAAGATGTGCAGAAAAGTAGAGAGGTGATGTGATGGAAAAAAGATAAAAAGATAAAAAGATGGATTATATAGTGTACCCCCTGAAGGCACGGTGCAATTAATGATGACATTAAAATATAAATCAAAATTAGAGAGTGATGTATTCAAATTTTTTGTTTTGTTTTGTTTTTTTCTCTTTTCAAAGAGTAGGTAATGAATTCACGGGAAGAAGAAAAATCCCTAAATGAAGACATGAAACTTAAATGAAACACCAATTTATTAGAAACCCAAATAAATTTCAGGAACCCCCAAAATTAGGAACATCCATGACTCTCAAAATGATGTAAACCAATCATATATTTTTATTTTTTTTCTTTCCTTTCTAGACCAATCACAGGTGATTGAGAGTTATAAAGTTGTATTTTTGTTAAGAATATGTAACATTTTTGATATTTTTAATAAAAAAAAAAATCTTCCCAAGATAAATTGCACTTCTCCCAAATTGAAACACTTCCTATCAAAACACAAAATATACACATGTGTGTGTACAGGTAAGTTAAACTTGTGTTTTGTGCAAATAAATAAAAATTAAGAGAGGATGTTATACGAAATGGTTCATTTAGGGTTCATTAACATACCCTGACCCTGCTTACATTTAGGGGTGTGCATAAAAATCATCCTCTCATCATTCCGCGCCAACTCAAACCAATCTGAGCAGCTTGAGAAGACGCAAGCAAGTTGAGCTGATCGGATTAGTTGACTTGTAGTTTAAAATTTGTTGACCTGCCTACAAAACCAATCCAATAACCCCTGAGCTTAGGAGTAACAAAGGAAAACTCCAGAAGAAGCATTAGCTACTTGGTTAGCCATCAAAAAAGCTTTGTGCACAGCTAAAGCCTCCGATTGGAAAACTTAAGTAGCTGAGACATGTTTGTTGATAACATTAATCCAAGATCCAAACACAGCCTTAGAGTGGTGACATCCACTGTCCATGGATTAAAATAGCCTTTGAAAGCAGCACTGCCAGTTTGAAGAAAGATCTGTCATGTTCTTCTTTCTCTATGGGAAAGGGAGAATGTTATACATGGTCTAAGTCTTTGGTGAGAATTAGAAAAATTCTCCTAACAGTAACATCTATTAACTTCAAAAGCAAACTTGACAACATTGCACTGTACCAGCTATTTCATATTTCAATCATCTGTCAAATGTATACATACATATTGTGTGATTTCAAAAAAATTCCATTTGGAAATACATATTCTCAAGCAACTAATTGAAGGCAGACGAAAAGAGAAACTGAAAAAAAAAAAGTAAGTAAAAAAATAAAAAAGATTGTCAACTTTATACAACAATTATGATAGCAAAAACTTCCAATTATGAATTGGCAACATGTGACTTCAGATGCCAGATGCATTACATTCTTCAAGCAGTTGAAGGATGTTATGTTTAGGAGCACTGATAGATGGTAGAATCATGCGGTTAGATGGATGCCGTGGTTTGGGTCCCACAGACTCAGATTCCATGGGGGTCCCCTCCTGCATAACTGGCAAATCGGCCCTCCTCTCCACCCTTGTTCCTGCAGATACTCGCTCCTTCCATATTCGTCCCCATCCTGACATTTGAGGAAATTAACAATATGATTTCAAACACAGTAGGTTTTATCTGAGGAGGATTCGCATGGACATTTTTTCTTCTATCACCTTCAAGATTGTTAAGTATTTAACGATTCGGCATGTTAAATATTAAAAATAAAAAAACAAATTTAAATACAATAATATTCTAAAACAATAGTAATACAAATTTGGTGACCAAGTGAACTATAGGAGTATAAAATTGTTAGAAGTTAAAATAGAAAAGATTGTTTGAATAACCTGAAACCAACGTTTGAATAACCTGTTCACAACCCGATAGAGAGAACGCAAAACAGCCCAAGAAATCGCGAGAAAGTGATAGAAAATAGTAGAAAAATAGGGTAGCTGGCCCTCATTCCTTAAAACTTCATAAACCAAAGAATGAATATGCATACATCAAAGGAAGAAATAAAAAGAAATCAAAATGAGTTACATTACATATGATTCCAAAATTTCAATATGAGTAACAAAACTAATGCAATATTGGGACAATCAAATCTGGAAGAACCCATTAGGTATATGATAGCAGCCAACATCAATTTAAACCATAGAGACAAAATAAAAATAGAGCAGATTGTTTGAATAACCTGAAACCAACATTTGAATAACCTGTTCACAACCGTAAAATAACCTATTCACAGCCTGATAGAGAGAATGCAAAACAGCCCAAGAAATTGTGAGAAAGTGACAGAAAATAGTAGAAAAATAGGGAATGCAGAACAGCCCAAGAAATCGCGAGAAACTGACAGAAAATAGTAGAAAAATAGGGATCTAATAAACGAACTCAGAACTCATAAAACATGATAATTAAACCAAATAAAAACCATTTCTCATTTAGAATGAATGTCCAACAAACCTAGCATCAACCTTCCAAAAAAATAGATCACACAACAAAATTACAAACAAAGAATCATTTTTTTCCCGTCAGATCAATACCCATAACCGTTAACATAAATAAACAATCCAAGCATAGATTCAATACCTACGAAACCCCTCATACGCCCTTAATCAGAAGTTAAACCCAACAAAACAGTGAAGTTTTGAGAAAATCCGGATTGTCAAATGAAAGAAGTGACTGTTGGATCTTCGAAATTGGGTTCCAATAAATGTAATCTATCTTGTTTGCTTTCAATAAATGTAATCTGTTTGCTGTGTTCTAGCTTCTAATTTATTTTAACAATCCCAATTTCTTTAAAGGCATAATTCACTTTGTGAAGCTTCATGCTTTATGCTGAAAACCTTTAGGAAGGCATTGTCAGATAATTAGTCTAATAGTTTTTATGCTGTCCTTTTTATCAGCTCATATATTATCTGATTCTTTTCATGAAGTATATTCAGACCGATGTTTTAATGCTTCGTACATATTTTTCCTTGCAGTACAATAGCGGTCCTTCAACTTGTGCTCTCCATCGATATTAACAATGTTTTGGCATTCTGTCACAGATGTAAAATGTCATTCTAATATTTCTCCTTTTGGTTAATGTTGACTGTAAATAATATACGTGTTACAAATTTATTGCCTTTTTATTGATGTTATCGTTTCTGATAATTTACCCAACTGATAAAAGATACTTCATTTGGTTTTATGTATAACTTAAGTGTAAGATTTCTGGTGGTTAAAGATGAGAGTCTTTACTTTCATGAATATTGAGTTGATGTTTGCTGATGGTTTTGGTGTTTCAGGTTTTGTATGTTTTTAGAAAGCCTGAAGTTTCAGATATCGTGATTTTTAAGGCTCCTCCAATTCTTCAGGTGTGTTTTGAATTTGCAGAATGAACAATTAACAATTGAACCAATGCATTAGAAACTAACTATATTTGTTGCATATATAAACAATTGAACCAATGCATATATTAACCCAAATTCTAAACTAAAATTATAACTCAAATTATCAACAATTGAACCAGATAGAGAGGAATGAACAAAGGGGAATGTTTTTAACTTCATCATGAAGAAGAAAATTTCCTCACATAAACCAGCATTTACTCTGATACCAAACAGTGGAAAGTTATCTGTCTATATTTTTTTCTGTACTAAAACCAGGATTCCAGGAGTGTCCTTGGATTTGCACCATGTTTAATGCAAGGCTTTTTTAAGAGGCCATTCCTGGTTTAAATTAATGTCAAGCTTTTCATGTTTATTCATGCTAGTTTGAAACTTGTTAAAGGGGGAAAAATATCTTTGAATTTTTAAGTTCTAATAAAAAGTAGAAATTCAGGGAAAATAAATTTTAATACTGTTATTTTAAAAAAATAACAGATTTTAAGAATGTTGAATTTTTTAAAAAAAAAACACACATAAAATTAAGAAAACAAAAAACCAAAAAAAAAAAAAATTAACAACTCAGCAGTATAAATTGGGAATATAGGATATCAAACAATCTTTCAAATTGGAAGCAAACCACAAGTGTAGCTCATTCAACAAAAGCAGTGTCCACGAAACAAACTGTTGATCATTCTTTTGTAAAGGATAATTTGACCAGATCTAAGGTCAATGCTTTCTGGTCCACAGGACAACTTGAGTGGCTTTGGAAATTCTGCTACCAAAAAGTTTCCTGCAACTGTTAATGGAAAAATTGTTAATAAAAGTCAATCCAACGGAAAACTCTCAACTACCACATTTTACCAATCCCCCACCACTAAATCCCGTTTCCCAACCTTCCACTATTGTAATTCAAAAGAGTGGGGATCTGAAA